TACACCAGCTCGCCGGGAGGGGTTCCTCCCGACGAGCTGGATTGTGTTCCAGCTCGCCGGGAGGGATTCCTCCCGGCGGTGTTGCCTCTCTTGGCACCGGGTATCCCTTGGGATACCCGGATATCCGCCAGGTTTGGGCGGCAAAACAGCCATCCGCAGCCGAAACCGCACCCGCTGGCGGGTATCCGCTGGCACTGGCGGGTATCCGCCAGCGGATAGCGGATATCCGCGGCGGATTATCCGCGACCATCTCTAGAAGACTCGCGATGATATTGTGAGTAACCTCATCTTCTCCTGTCCTGTTATACAACAAACTGATTACGACTCTATTTTTCTTTCTTTCAGCTTACCGAGGCCAAGGAGCTATATAAGGCTTCCTTTGGGTCTGCTTTCAGCCTCGATCACTGCTGGGGCATCTTGAAGGACTCCCCGAAATGGCAAGCAACTCAGAACGAGAACGAAGCTCGAGGGAAGAAGGCCGACCAATCGCAATCTAGGACGACTTCCGTGGCCTCCGATGCACCAGCCTCCACCCCTGCCGCTTCAAGCCCTGGAATCATCGATGTGGACGATAACGACTCTGAAATCAGTCGATCGGTCCTTGGGAACGTTCGTGTTGAGGGGCAGAAAGCCGCAAAGAGGAAACGAGCCGACGAGTGCTCCATTGAGAAGATAGTGAGAATGCAAAAGGAACTCGTTCAGATATCGCGTGATCGGTTATCTTTGATGAAAGCGGCGATGCAATCAACTTCGGACAATGCGATCATGTCGCAAGATCTCAGCATGATGGATGAGGAAAGTCGAGTGTATTACCTCAAGAAAAAAAGAGCAATTATTGCCCGGGAGGAACAGGAAGAGAAGGAGAAGGAAGAGAAAGAGAAGAAGGAAAAGGAGGAAAAGGAGAAAAAAGTGAGGGAAGAAAAAGAAGAAAAGGAAAGACAAGAGGAGGCAGAAAAAAAAAGGAAGCAGAAGGAAGCAGAAGCGCTGGAATATGAATCCGACGATGATGAAGAATCCGAAGGGGATGAAGAAACTGAATGAGATTTTTATTGCCTTTTTTTTCAGGATTGTCTCTTTATTATTGCTTTTCAGACTTTTGATTATTGGTTATTACCAATAAGACCTGTCTGATATTTTTTTCTAGTTTTTTTTTTTTAAATAACAAGTTCAATTGCAAGTTTTTTTTTTATAAATACCAATTTCAATTCCAATTTTTTTTATAAATAACAACTAAAATTTCAATGGCCCCGACACATATGAGAGAAACTTGAGCTAGAGATCGCAGAAGAGAAAGAGATGAAAAAATTGTGAAAACAACACACATCCTGAGAAATGAGATAAACATGAGTGAAAAGGAGAAAAAACATCAATGAAAAGAGAAAGATATTAAAGAAAAAGCCATCAATAAGATAAAAAAACTAGGAAAAAAATACAACAATTTTATGAGGCATCATCAGCATCATCAGATGAGGAATCATGATCTTCTGAGCCATGTTTGTTCCACAGATGATCGATGAGGTCTTGCTGAAGACGTGCATGTAATGCATGATCCCGTATTGCTTGGTATTGGAGCATGAACTGCTCAAAAGTCGAGTTGGTTGGGCTGTTTGTAGTGATTGTTGCCTGTGTGCGTTGATTTTGATGGTAGTTAAAATCTTCTTCAAAATCGGTCCCCGCTTTGTCTTCAATTGTCATGTTGTGAAGTATGATCACAGCTGACATGATCTCATTAAGGTCTTCATGTTTCCAAAAACGACCTGGGTAGCGTACAATGGCGTAGCAAGCTTGCAGGACCCCAAAAGCACGTTTGACATCTTTTCGGTATGCCTCCTGCATTTTTGCATAATGTTTTTTTTTGCCTTGGGGTTCAGAGATCGACTGGACTAGGGTAGAGTATGGCGGGTATATTCCATCGGTGAGGTAGTAGCCGGCACCGTATTGAGTTCCATTTACTTTGTATGAGACCGTGACACCTTCGCCTTCTTGAAGCTGTTCAAATATGGGTGATCGGTCAAGTATGTTTATGTCGTTTAGTGTGCCAGGAAGTCCAAAGAAGGCATGCCAAATCCATAAGTCGTAGGACGCCACGGCTTCAAGGACGACAGTAGGCTCTTTTTCCTTGCCAGTATATTGCCCATGATCAGCAACTGGGCAATTTTTCCAGCACCAGTGCATGCAGTCAAGAGAACCCATCATACCAGGGAAACCTCGCTTATCGGCCACGGCAAGCAGTCTAGCAGTATCGTTTTCATTCGGTTTTCTCAAGTATTCATCGCGGTAGACTTTATTGATTGCTCGGCAAAACCTCTTCAAACTCTCGATTGCGGTTGATTCACCTGTTAATGAAAGAATGAAAGTTCTTCAGAATCTGAATTGTTTACTATCATATTGAAAAAATGTAGATTAAAACTCACTAATATGGAGGTACTCATCCACAGAGTCTCCACTACATCCATAAGCGAGCATTCGTATCGCAGCTGTTGCTTTTTGTAGAGCCGAGAATCCCAATCGTCCAGCTGCATCGCGTTTCTGGACAAAGTAACGGTCGGCTTCTTGGATATCTTCGACAATTCGCAGGAATAGACTCCTGCGCATTCGGAATCGGCGGCGGAAAAGATAGTCGGGATAAACGGCATCCTCGGAGAAATAGTCTTTGTAAATACGTTGGTGTCCTTCAAGTCGATTGCGGTTGAATTCTCTTTGTCCAGGTGTTGACCCCCCACGTTTCTTCTTTTCTTTGGTCTTCAATATCAGTGAAAGCGTCGTTTGGAGGGACGAAAGGATGTTGTCGTCGTTGTCCATCCATTGGAGGAGATCCTCCATCGCTGTGGAGTGGAAGGTATGTTGGCCGATCGTCTTGGGGAGATGGTTTGTGGTCGATCGTGTTGGGGAGGTTGGTTGGTCCGAGGGTGGAGAACTGCCAGTCCATTACTGGAACTGACCCGCGACCTCTGTGACATGAGGTTGCGGCCTGCGGAACTCATGCGATTTGCCCCCCGGACCGCTGGGGTTGCTCTTACATATTTACTGTTTGCCGCCGGCGCCGACTCGGACTATCGGCAGGCATCCCTATTCCCTCGGCATCCTCATCCTCCTCTGCAAATATGTATTTGCTTTCCTAATAATCATTGATCCCAGTTAATTGGGCAAATCTATTTCATAGCTCAGTAATGGGTGAAGGAGCAAATAAAACAAGTTATATAATGATGACATTTATAATTACATGGTCATTTTTCTGTCAAACAGGTCTCCAACCAAAATTATACACAATGCCTTTGTGCTCTGCCTTTGTTCTTAAAAAAATCACATTCTCTGACAATTACTCCAGACCTTCTCTCACGACTTTTCCCAAGAACAAGAATGTGATAAGGAAATTTGTCATCATGAAAAGTCATTATATAAGAAGAAACTGGAGTTGGCTTCTACCCTATCTGTTTTGGATTACGATCAAGGGGGTATATGTGGTGCGGTTAATTAGTGCACAATTTGGTGTGGTACTCAAGAATATGTGGGGTAGGAAATTTGGCTGGATTGGAACATTAGGGACACCGACTCAACTCTGCTGGTCTAAAAGTCTGCAGAGAAAAAACCCGAC